TTAGAGGAGGCTAATAAACCAAAAAAGCGAGGCAAGAAAGGAGATAAGAAGAAAGGTGTTCCAGAAGGTCCATCTTCTCAATCTCCAACCCCTTAGAAGCAAGAGATTCAAGGTGCAACTCCTTCCGCTTCTAAGAAGCGAAAACTTAGAAAGATGACTCTGTAGCCCAGCTCATCTTCAAGCGAAAGAGAATGTTCTCAATATGAGGGTTCTCTTCGTGGTGATTCGCCTCCACCCTACCCACAACAAGAGGTACCATTAAAAGAATCTGTTCCAACTCCACCTCCTTCTCCTACTCATACCACTATTCCAGTTACAATCACACCATGTCCCCCACCTGTCACTAAAAAATCAATTCCAATTACCTCTCAACCACCACCTATCACTTCTACACCACCTACTTCTACTACCCAAACCCTACCTGTTTACACTGATACTACAACAACCACTACCACAAGCGAACCTCTCGTTAATGTCAACGCATCTGATGCAGGTTCAAAGACTTCAAGTTTTGTCACTTGTACTACCACACCTCCTGTTTCCCCTTAGCCTGGTCACACATTTGTAGACCATCTTGGTGGTGATGGACTGGATTTTGATACATTCCATTATAGTCTTTTCTCCATTCTAGACGATAGTGATGACGATGCTCCTCTCACTCAGAGGCATCTCAAGGAACTGAATACTAAGCTGGATACACTTCTTGCTTCTGCTACTGCTTCCACAAGCGACGCATATTCTGAAGCCACGGTGAAAAGTATGCTCGATACTTTTTCCAAGGAGCATGCAACAAATCTTGAGAAAGAAAACAAAGCAGTTGAAGATTCCACCCTATTAAACCAACAAGTGACTGAAAAAGTCGTTAAACTAATCTTCGAAACGAAAGTGTTCATGACAGATCTCAATACAACTGCTGAAGGTAATATTATGAAGGCGAATGAGGCCATTTAGAAGCTCAACACTTTGCTAAGGTCTGAACGTGAGAAACTTGAGAAGCTTCGCTCCGGTATCTCTAAAGATAATACCACTTTTCACTCTTCCATTTCTAAAACCCTTACCAAGTTTCAAGATGATTTGGCGGTTGAAAGCAAGATTATGGACGACCTTTCTCTTCATACCACACAAGTCCATACTCAAACTTTGAAGTTCAAGCAAGGGAGGTCAGAAATAGATGAGCTTAAGTATGAACACGCGATCATGATGTTCTGCATCAATGATGTCAATTCCTTGTTATCCGATCTCATTGAAGCACATGATCCGGTCTTGACCATCACCATTTGAAGACATTTAGCTAATAAGCTACGTCCTGCCTTTGCTATCCTTAATAGGCTCGAATGTGTTCTTGAGGCTCCTGTCCCTTCAGAACAAGGGGGAGAAGAGAAAACTGCTGAGGCCGGGGAGCAACCAAAGACATGGGAGCAACCAAAGTCAAAAGAACTGAAGGTTAATATAGCTTTGGGTTCTAAAGGAAGAGAGCCAATGGTTGTGGATGATGAAGAAGATGAAAGTGAAGAGGACCAGTTGAAACAAAAGTCAAGGGAACATGAACTTAATGAGAGAGCTCACATTGCGAGAGAACTTGTGGAAAAATAACGAAAAGAAAAAGAAGCTCATGACGCGTTGGAATGCAGGAAAACGCTATTTCCATCATGGACTTTGGAGAAGTTAATGTATGAATTTGTTGAATTTCCCAACATTCATTGGTTGGAGCTAGTGACTTCGTTCAATCTGACCAACACGAGGGATAATCAGTTTAACATACCAATAACGAAAAGGGCTTTCATTTTTCACTACTTTGATTCCATTGCAGATATTCCCTCACCTAACGAGAAAGTGGATAAAGCCTTAATTGACTTTTATCTCACTTATGGCAAGCCTCAGTACTTGACCTGGAGCATTCAGAAAATATCTACAGTCAAGGTCACAGGGCCATAGGCTACATGTAGCTTCGTCAATGCAAAGTTCAAGGTGACAAGGAGATCTAAAAACATTGTTCATGAGTTCACTCTGGTTGATTTACCCAACATTAATCCATAATATTGGATTCTATTTCTCAAATAATCTTTTGGGTGAAGAACAAAAATATGAACCAATTATGGATTATCTGAAGCGAATGTTGGCTTCATATATTTACGCAGTAGCAAAGCTTGATGCGGAGATTGCCAAGGTTCTAAAGAGAAAGCCTATAGTGAATCTGATTAGGAAAGCAAGCGATATGAGCAAAATGAGTATGGGAAAAATTGATTCAACACACTTAACTGTGATGTTTAAATGAGGAACTGATGTTCCTAGAGCTTTTCAGAAATGTCTTTTCGCTCTACCTGATAAACACTTGTTCTCCACATCCTGTCTAGAACATATCTTGGAGATTGTTAGCAAGTGTACTTTGAATGATGAAGCTGCGAAGAGGAACTTTAATGACATGATTCGGTGGTACATCCTGTTTCGCAGGACTTTGGTTGTTGTGATTCCCAAGATCTGCAAGACAGTCAAGAAGACACAGTAGTAAAGAATCTCTCACCTCAATTGACGCAAAAGGGGAGATTGTTGGGTATAATAGATTGTGTCATTGGGCTTATTTAATTAGTCCTTTTGTATTCGGTATTGGGCCTGTCCATGCCGTGTCATTAATTAGGGTTAGAGTATATATAGCGCATGCATGCACCATAATTAGTGTCGATCTGATTACTTTTGATTGTAACCCTACAGTAGCAATTCTTCATTAGACTTCTTCTAAGGTTGTGCCTTTTAATCATTTGACACCTTGTTGATTTATCATGTGTTCTTACTTTACTTTGTGTTCATAATATACTTGTTTAGAATCTATTCGATCCATAAGGATTTTAGTCTTATCACCAACATTAATAATCCATAGATCTAATATTAACTCATAGTAAATTGAGGTTCATCTATGCTAATGAAAGTTAAGGGTATTAGCTCATGATTGTAATAGAAAAACAACTAATCAAATAGTAAATTAAACTCAACATAATTTAAACAGAATGCTTGACTCGACTCATTGCTAATTACTCTTCTTTTCTCTTCCTCCTGGTCGAAATCAAGTCTTCTAGGGTTTCTCCAGAATCTCGTCCTCTAGGCCTTTACATTTGTCCTTTATATAGGAGTAAAATTGCCATTAATTAGGCACCATGTCGTGGCCAATCGCTTGCCATGTCGTGGTAACAGTTTCCTTATCATAATCGGCAAGGTAATCTACTTTAGTTGAGATCCTTCCAAATGCCACAACATGAGCCAGAATTTATTGCGTCATGGTTATGGCCGTGTGACGCGTTTTTGAGGATTATTTGTTCTTTATTTGGAAACTTCACCCTCTAACTTCCATTTTTGTCCATTTTGGTCCCTTTTCTTCAAAAATGTCTTCTGGTGGCTGAAATGTGTAATTTATGCAAATAAGTACCAAAAGTCCTTATATTTAGACCAAAATACCACTAAAATATAATGAAATAACTCCTAAAAATATGTATAAATATGAATATATTAAAATACCACACACTTGCCTTTTGCTTTCCCTCAAGTAAAACTTATTTAATACATCACATAGAACATTGCTTACAAAGATCACACAAAACAATCCAAATTGAACTTGCTAATTACACATCACCTCAATGCATGTATTTGTGTCTAAAACCTAACTACTTCCCAAGCCCTAAATACTCACAATCCTTATCAATGCTTCCCACTTATTTTGAGCAACATTCATTTTATGCATCCCTCCGAGTATATCCTCATAAGACTTTCTTAACCTTAGTGTATTTTTGTTAGGTTCCCAAGCATACATATGATAAAATAACCTAGAAAGAAAAATTACAACTTGAAATAATGCGCCCTTAACTTTTGGCAATTTTGCCTTATTCTTCACTTTCTTCATCTTGAACTTTCAATATTTGGAACTTTTGAACTTTTCTTCTTGATCTTCATACTTTGCAAGCTTCTATTCACCCAAAAATTTTAACAACTTTTTTTTTTTTTTTTTTCTAATAACTCACTTTTTTTCACTCAAAATTAAAAGCCTAAAAGAATGACATCTGCTTAAGAAAGAGAACTTAACCTCAACCCTTATTGGTTAAAGACATTTGTCTAAAGTGAAATGCCTACATAAACTTTCCTTGATATATTTCTAGTACACGATCTAAACTTTTTATGTCCCTCAAACTACACAAGGTTGCATTTTTGTCTCGTGGTTTCACTAAGACTGGGAAGCCACAAATACACTATAACATATTGGCTCAACTACATCTTAGAGTTCGCATTGAATCATTCTACATAAGACAAGCAAACTAGTGCAAATGCAATAATATAAAAAATTTAAAAATTGAATAGATTTTTAATATTAGACTATTTTTGCAAGTCTATATAATTTTTTAAAATTCCTAGCATTTTTCAACTTTTATGCTTGAAAATCCTTTTTGACCCCCTATCACATATTTATTTCATACAATGCCCTCACTGCATGCGAAAGATAAATTAAAACAATAAAAACAATAAAAAAATAGAAAAAGGAACAGACTCCCATGAGGTAGTAGTGGCGAGATTGAATAGATAGTTGTTGGATAAATATCATCATCTTGATCTTGTAAACTAAAAACTAATGATCTGCTGCCTTTTAATATGATGACATATAAATCATGATTGCCATTGTTCAAAAGGTGGTGTGTGAGCTGCAAAAAGTTGCAATTAACAGAATCTAATTTATGGGAAAGTGTCAACCATGAAGGAGAATTTTCTCAAATAACTAATCCCCCAAGGTGTGGGAATGTCGACCATGTCTCGGCAACTGGGATATTTACGATGTCGTGATTTGTAAAACCCCCACGACGCGGAAAAGTGTCAACCACGCCGTGGAAATCGTCGAAAACAACACTTCCATTATTTTCTTTATATTTCTCTGCACCCCATGCTTATGAAAAACTGTGGCTCTCTATGTCCACTCCCGCTTTCGGCTAACCTCTCTCGCGTCCGATAATTTATAATCTGCACAAACAAAATTAGACCAAATTCCTAGAGTGAAGTAAAGAAACAAACTGCACCATTCAGTTTACACATCAAAAACAAAAGAAAAGAAAATTAAAAAAACACAAGGATAGTCATCAGTCATCGTCTTCATCACCACTTCCTTCAATCATACATGACCCCACATCATTGACTCCCCACAACTCCTCCCAAGTTGGAATGTATGGAAACTATTGTGGCATGTCAACTGGCTTTCTGATCTTGAAGTATGAAAACAAAGTATTCATATATTATATCATGTAGTTCACTCCTCCCCTCAAATTGTCTTGGTGTAGTCCAACTTTCTTTTGAAAAGGGTCCACTAGGATTTCTTCATCTTGAGGCTCTTGTCTCCTTTTATTCTCACTCTCAAAACAGTTTGCTTGAACTCCATATTCTTCAATTATCCTAATTGGATCATCCATTGGTATCGAATAGTGACCTTATCCCATGGCGCAAACGATTATGTCTTCTACAAAAGATTGGGACAACAATAAACACCCTTCAATCTTTTAAAGCATCTCAACAAGTGGTCCTTCTAATATCCCATAAGATCGATCTAAGTCTATCACAAAATGACCTCCACAAATGGGTGCTCTACAATGCATATTTACCTCCTTTTTAGAAATAAAGCCAAATGATATGCAATATTACAATATATTCCTGAATTCAGAATGCTCCATAGAAAGAAAATTTTTGTCTCTTAAACTTTATCCATGGATTCCCTGTGATTGATAGAAAAGGTGATTAGCTTGTGAATGAATCTATGCACGAGAGATCTTATAAGGTTTGCCGGAGTATCATCCTTGTTGTATGTACCATTTTCTAAAAAAATCACAAATCTTGAACAAATAGTTCTTCTGGTATGTCAACAAATGTCTCATTTAAAAAAGTTGTAAAAGTAGGGTTGATAGCATCTAAACGATCATAAAATCCACTCC